GCCACCAGTAAAGAAAACCTGGGTGACATTTTAGAAATCATTGACCAACAGAAATCAGATCAATAACTGCTTCTCTTTTCTAAAAAGTTATTCAGGTCTTTTTTAATATTGTTTCTTTAATCAATAGTTCTCAATTAACCTGAGGAACAATTATTTTTATAGTTATGTCAATAATTTTTATATCATCCAATCTAAAGATTCTTGGTGATGTACAACACTATAAAAGAAATATCCAAAAATTCTCTCAATTAAAACTCATTTAAAATGCACAGTACAATTTAAAATTTACAATGGCCCCCCTAATACACGTAGGTGTCAAAATCCTGTTTATAAAGGAAAATCTTTACCATCTTCTTCAATGTTAGAAATAAGAAGGCCAGACACATCTCTTGGGGACAATGTGTTCCATAACTTGGATGCAGCCACTGAGAAGGCTTACCTTCTGGTCCATGCTCCTCTTAACAAGGGAGGACCTTCAGCAGACCCTGTCTAGATATCCTCACAAAACCATATCGGGTAAGGCAGTCCCTTAATAGGAGGGTTGTTTGATCTATATTATTATTGTGCTTAGAGTACATTCCTCAGTATGAGCGATTCGTTCTGTGAAACAGGGCTCTTCCTTATTTCCTCTAACCACAACACAAACATACCCCAGCAACTTATTTTTTTTCTGCCATGTCATCATGAGGTTGCCTTCATCTTATCCCTAACTCAATTCTCAGGCAGCTTAATGCCATCCTTAGCTGTCCTGGTATTGAAATAATGTTATCCTCTTCTCCCAACACATTCTTTTCTGTGGATGTGATTTGCATTCTTCACTGATCATTTGGTTACTAATGTGGTATGGGTTGGGACTACCCAGCTTCTATTGGCTACTTTAGGTTGCTGTGAGTATCTCCCCTCCCCCAAGGTCACTGGGCACTTTGCTCCATGGATATTTTGTCTTGGACTGCAAGAGAGACTGGATGTTTTGCTTCTTCACAGGGATCTGCCCATGTAATCCCTGAGCGGTTCTTTCTACAGTATACTGCTTTTCAGGTATTACATGGACTCATAATATACACATATTAAGCACACTTCTGAAAACATTCTATACCTTTATTATATCTAGGTTTAGCACTGTTTTGAAAGCACACTAGGCTATGTTAATAGAAAGTTGATTTAAACCAGGACTGAGAGTTGGGTCCATTGGGTGCATCACAGGTTTTCTGCTCCTTCTGCTAACAAGAGCTTTCACATGTCCATATTGATACAATTGCTTGTACCATTTTCACGAGTGCAACTACTGTTGTCCTAATTGCTCAACACTCATGAGACCAATCTTATGGCAGCTACAGTTTTTCTGGCTGGGTGTGCAATGCACTACTGTTACTTACAACAGTTTTGTTGGAGTGGTGACACCATTTTGCTATTCTATTTCTGCTTTGGGTTTGACTGTTGTTATTACATGCAGGCCAGTTACAACTGTGTAAATCTGGAAGTCTGCTGTAGCATGTGTGTTCTCCCTAGCTATCCATTATTGACTTCTGAGTGCTCACAGCCGTGAGGTTAAAACTGGACTCCTTGGCTTTTCATTGCCAGCACCATCATTCCCTTGTAGTCAGAGATGGTGCTTGCTCATTTCATTCTCTTTCTTCTGCTTTGTCCAACATCCCTCTCCATACCTTTTACCAGGCTATGTTTGAACATGGTTTAGAGTTCTTTTTGACAAGTGCTATAGCCTATTCAGAAATAACCTGACTGACAGGTAACAGGTGCAGAAGAGAGTTTCAAGGACCATTGGGAGAGCTCCCTCTTGCTTTACCCCGTGTGTGCTCTTAATGCCCATAACCTGATAGTTGGGCAATATGACAGGTAGTTAAACATACTGTTTTAATCATTTGTGTAGAACTCATCTCATCCTGCTCTACCCCAAGTTAGGGATAGTGGTTGTTGCTTCTTTCTGGCATATGACTCTGAAGGAAGAGAAAATGAAATGAATCCATCAACCTGTTTCATTAACTTGACCTACAATAAGTATGTAAAGACAACACCGTTGTCATTCTACTGTAGCAGAGTAGGGAACAGCAAAGTAGGCAACACAATTTATGTCAGCAAATTTTTTGCTAGCTCAAGAACTGACGTATAGCACTTTTAACTCAACTGTGAGGAAGAACTAATAGTTGTCCAAATTGACTCACTTTTTCTGGCTACTGTGGAATGTTACCAGTCACTGTCCTGTCACTAATAAGGCTTTATGTGTCTTTAGCCCTTTGAATTTTTGATTACTGTTTAATGTCTGTATTGTTACAGCTGCATAAATCCTTCAAAAAAGCATTTTTTATTGTGATCCCATGCATTGAGAAGTGCTTCTGTCAAACGACTTGCACATCCTTGTATTCACATGACACACTGAACAGCAATTTAGCCAATGTATTTTAAACTGGTTAGTCAGTATAAATCAGTTAGGTTAGTTTAGTGTATTCTGCAAAACCTAAAAGTTAGGTTAAATGAACTGTAGTTAACCATAAGTATATATGTCATGTGAACACAGCCATGCTGACTGTAGACTGTTATTTGCCCATAATTCTTCTAGACCTTAATATTCTCAAATAGTTCTCAGATAGTTTTGGAAAAGAATCAAGCTAGGCTTAGTAGGTGTGTAATCTTTCATTTCTGCTTCCTATTAGTAGATTAATGCTGTGGGAGACTTATTAACACTTGAAGGGCAGGGAGATGGTGATCTGGGCATCTTTTTCTTCTTTCATCGCTTCTTTATAGCTGATTGGTATAGGAAACTAGATAGTGCTAGAAATGCATTTTCTTCCTTACTCCTGGGTTCTGCACAACCTATAAGCCTGTTCCTCTTTCTACACAGATTTCTAGGTCAAGGTGATACTGGATACATACCCATCGTGCTCACCATTTGGGGGTGAGCAATGTAGGGAGAGTGTGGAAAAGGAGTAAGAAATACTAAGCCAAAGAAATTAGAGACCTGAGATAAGGAAAAGAAAAAGAAGCATAGCCAAGTCTAATTTACACCAACACATTCACTATATCTCTTTATATTTTTCTGTCCTTGCAAACTGGCATTGCTTACAGCATATCCGTACACCACTTCATACATCATGCTTTCTTCGTTAAACTTCTCACATTTTTCTTTTCCAGGATCTCATTGGTTCCATCTGAGCCCATCTAGCTCAGTGTTCCCCTTTCTCTCAACCTATTCACTCTTCTTTCATTTACTTATTTTGGGGCAGGATTCTCATTCATTCTCTCAATATGACCAAACCACCTCAACATATTTCTTTTGTACTTGTTACTTCACATCTGCATGCATTTAGTACCTGTTCATGATTTACTTTCTCTCTTCTTGGTTAATCACACATATTTCTTAAATAGACTTTTCGCCCTGCATTCAACGTACTTTTATGTTTTTCCTGGTATATCCAGCTCTCATTTCTGTATAATATAGTGGGATAAGCATGTTCTCATACACTCCTTTTGGCAAACATTCATCATAACAGACCACATATTACCCATTACCTTTTTACCAGTATTTTCACATCTTAAATTTCTCATAAAATCTTTAATAAACATTCTACCAAGGTATAGGCATTCATCTGCTTGCTCTAGTTTTCGCCATTTATGTATAATTTGTGCTCACTCACTGTTTCCTTGTCAAGGAACAAGACCTACCTTGGTATTTGATATTTTGTCACTATCAGTATAAATTAAAATGTGTTTTAATATGTTCTGCAGTATAGATTTCATTGACCTGATTGTCTTTTTCTTGTTTATGTTTATCTTTCTTGCAATATGTAGTACAGCCAGGTCAGTATTTTCATTTTTATTCATCAATATTTATTCATGCTTCTCCTGAGAAGCAATTTGCAATAATCAATTGCCACTTAACAGAGAAGAAAAATTCTCGTTAAAACAAAATTTCTTCTGATGGAAAAAATATCTGTCTCATAGTGAAAATATAATGCAAAATTTGAACCTGTGCTTTTTGTTTCTATTATTATCCCATTTGCCTTGCTAATCATAATCTGGGATACGGTCAACATAGGAAGTTAGAGATTGTTCTATCTAACTCAATACTATGTGCACTGACTAGCAGAATCTCTTTAGAGGTTTTCCCTCACCTTCGTATTATACTTCAACACACTTCAGATTTTATTTTCAACCAGATATAATAAAACTTCGACATTTTTTAAATCTAAGTCATATGGTTTAAAAAAAAATAAAATCAATTTTAAAATGCCTTTACATTAGTATACACTTGAAGTTCATGTCACATTCTTTTATTAATACCAACCCATGTAAATTATAGATGAACTATCAGGTGAAAAATAATGAATTAATAAACTAAAAAGCAGCACCTTTTCACCTGGAAGCCTAGTGAATTTCATAACGAAAGGACAAGAATTATTCTGCCTGAAGAATTATTAAATTATAATAAATTCATGGCCAAGTTTCTTTGCTTCTGTAGAAACATTGAACCTAATTTTCTTGAGAATATGGTCAAAGATTAAATGAAAGATCACATAAAATATTTGCTTGCATTCCACATAATCCCTGCCTTTACTGATAGAAAGAGTAGCAGGATTAGTAAAGGACTGTGTCTGAGATCTTAGAGATTCATATTACCATTTAAGTAAGACTAAGAGGCAAAAATAGATCCTAATATCACTTACCTAATGTTCACTATGACCCTAAATGTATTTAAATCTGAAATCGTTTTTAATCATTAATGCTAATTTGGGAGCAAAATATGGCCTAACAAAGTGGAAAAGCTAGGGATTTTCAGAGATACAATGCAGTAGAGAAAGTATACGTGGAGTAGTTTAGCACAAGTTCCCCCGTCCCCGGTATCCAAACTCCAAATCTTCAGTCCAGCCAGAGACTGAAGACTCCACCCTCCCACCCACTGTAAGAGAAGCCTTCCAGATAGGTGATGCATTTCTGAAATGGGAACATTCGAAAACCTGTATTGTGTTTTCTTTGTGTCTTCTCAGAGTTGCTCTTGTGGAAAATATTCCTGAAGGCATTAACTATTCAGACAGTGCACCATCCCATTTGTCTCTTTTCCAAGGGTGGATGAATTTACTTAATATGGCTAAAACATCTGTTGACATAGTGTCTTCCCAATGGAACCTCAGTCACAGTCATCCAACTGCATGGCAGGTACATGTTTTAAATTTTTCAAGTCTTTGATTGTCTGCTTGGTTTACATTTTACAGTTCAATCTTGCCTGAGTCTGAATCCTTCAGGTTTAGTTTAAGTACGAAAGTAGTTTCTGGTTATTCTCATTATGAGATTGAACCAATTGCCTATAGAATAGTCTCTCAGTAAGTAATAATATTTCAGATTGTATGATAAGTGTAAAGCTGAAAACTGTGATCCAGATTGTAAAGAGAGTTTCCCTAACTTGATCATGGGCTTTTTGTGTTTTATAATAATGATATTTTTCATATGCATTTAGAAAGAAAATAAAGTTCTTTTTAAAGAAACCTCTTTCAAAATTACTAAATTAGTTTACATATTCTGATAAACCATCCTGGCACTTTCCTGATTGCTGGATTGCAATGATGCCAGCTGGGATTCTGGGAGTTGTAATTTAAGGAGGATGCCAAGTTGGGGAAGGCTGCAACAGAAGATAAACAATGACCATTTTGTCAATCAAATCACTTAGCACTTTCTGTTTGTTCTTTGCTAATAAGTCAGTTTATCACAGCAATTTCAAGTAGTCTGATTTTTTTTTCCTGTAGTTAGAACAAGAAGTATTTTTAATATATGGCAAAAGCAATTATTTCTGCTTTCTGCAAAGTCTTATAATAATGATAGAAACTTGATTGTCTAAATTATTTATTTTATTTTTATAGAAACATCGCTACAGTTCTTTTAAAATCTTCTTCTGAGGTATCCAGGAAACATGAAAAAGTATATCTTGATGAATTAGTCTCATGTTAAGGCTATAAGGACTATAATTAATATTCTTTAAATATAAGATCACAAACTTGTTAAAATAGGATATTCCTGCTAATCCAAAATTCCTGCAAATTACCAGTATCTATCTGAGTAATATTTTTCAGCTGTCTATAATAAATTCAGTAGTTTGGTTGGTTGGTTGGTTTTAAAATACTGTATTTAGAGCCTACCTCAATCCAAATGGGCTCTGGAATTTGGAAGGTTTAGACTCTTCCAAAACACTTTCCAATATAACAAGTGATTTAGAGGTTTAGGAGTTGCTAACAATTCAGATCTGAATTGTGAAGTCAAAAGATATTTTAATTAAATGTTTATTTGTTTATTCCACATTCTGGCATTTAGCATATTTTGGTAATCAATACATAAGATGTTTAGAAGGGATAATTAAGGTGATCCAGAACATTAATACTATTTTTTGCTCAGACATCCTAAGAAGGATTTACCTGCAATTTTTTAGTAAAAGAACAACCAAGGCTCTGCAAAGATATCAGAGAGATCGAATAACAAGTTTATAGCTTTGCACATAATGGTTTTTGGGAAGGTCATTTAGATTCCATTAAAAAAGCTATTAAATTATACCCTATGGTAAAAGTTGAATATCTAGAAAGTTAAATCTTCTTTGTATGGAAGTTGCAATTTAAATAGAGAAAAAATTGGGTATCTTTCCATCTCCATACTAAGGGATCTCTTTTTGTATCTGTATATAAATCTAGAATTATGTTCATTTTAACAGCAATTATTCTTCCCCATAAATTCATGGGAATTTTCAGTCATTTATTTAATGCTGATATAAATAGATGACTGAAAATTCCCATGAATCTGAGTTAAAAACAGTTTGGAATACTTAGTAATATTATTTTCCTGGGAATGATTATTCAAAGATAAATAAAGAATTCATACAAAAAACAAAATTCAATTTTTTAATAAATTTCCATAGATATCTTAGATCCAGTTGGAAGCATGTTGGACTTATTCCAGTTAAGTGAATAATCTGATAATTAATCAAGCTGTTGTGTAATATTCACACATTTATGTAAAGACTTTTCATAAAAAACAGACTTAAAATATTATCAGCACATAATAACAATTTATGTTCAGTTTTAGTCAATTTAAACTGAAAATATTGGATTGTCTAATGAACCAATCCAGTGGTTCCAAAACCAAGTTAAATGTAACTGGAGGAAAGGTCTTTCTTGACATACAGTGGTACCTCGGTTCACGAACTTAATTCGTTCTGTGACTCTGGTTGCGACCCGAAT